AAAAAAAAAAAACAACACTAGAAGATATGTCTAGTATATGTGAATGAGACATAGCCAGAAAAAGAAAACCACTGACAAATTGGAAAGTGCATAAGCTCTGGCTGTCACCTGGAATCAAATCCAAAGGCTGATACTTAATACCTATAAAGCTCTGGCTAAGCCCTGAAGGTTGCTGTGAAACATGAGTCAACATATGTACAAATTCTTTCCTTTAACAGGACAAATATCCTATATTAGGTTTTCAATTCAACCTAATTCTTATAAACATAAAAATCAAGTCATTAATCTTCTAATGATATTAGGGACTACTTAGATTAGTTCTTTCTAGGCAAATGCTATAAAAATCCTGCCTCAAAAGCTGGAGCTAAGAATGTAGCTCAGAGGTAACAGTGTCTGCCTAACAAGTGCAAGCCCCTGGGTTTAATCTTTAACACTGTAGTAGTATTGAGGGTGGGGAGGGGGTAGAAGTAATATTTAAAAGTGTTTAATGTAGGTGGTTTTGTTTGAAGTTACTGTTCACAAATTGAAGGATTCATTTAATAAATATGTGAGTGGCCTAACCTATTATGATCTAGCTTTGATATAATCAAGTTTCCTATATATATAGAGTTCTGATCCTTATTCACCTAAAAAGGTATTTCTGGAGATCTGGAATATAAAGCAAACAATATTTTTTACCCTTAAAATTACAATTTTAAGAAGCAATGGAATCACTGTTTTAAAATTCTATATTCTAAAGCCAGAGTAAAATTCCAGTTACCTCTCAATCCCACAGATATTAGGGATGTAAATGTGGACAAATCACTTACCTTTATTTAGAGCCTTACCTCCTCATCTGTGAAACAGGAACAAAGCCATTTCTATTTCACTGGGGGACGGTATGAATTAAACTCGCTTAGGGCCTAGCCTTGGCTAAGCAGTATTCAAATCTCATGATCACCATTATCCTGTAAACCACTGAAATCCGAACCACTGCACTCACAATATGTCATCCGTGTGCTCAATTTTCTTATCATTTAATTTACAGTAATAAGTAAAAGGTTATAATACCTGCAATGAACTATAAGCATCAAGGCCTATTTTCAACAACATTCTTACCCCAAGATAGTAGGGAGGCATTGTCTTCAAATAACTTTCAAACGACTGTCTCCATTTCAATGTTGGTTTTGCTTTATGCACTTTGAACAAGTCATCTAGAAATACAGCCAATAAACTACCATCACACATTGTTCCCATACATAAAAATCTAGTCCAAGTTCTTCTTTCAAGTCTGCTTTATGACATCAGACAGTAACGTCAGAAATTATTAACAAAATTAAGAGCAGTAAAACTTCTAATTCTAGTTGCTTTTGTTTGTAATTCCATTTAAAACAAAGTGTTAAATTGGTCTAAAAATTACATGATAATGAAGTTGCATAAGAACACACACAAGGAAAAATTTTATGTCCTTTCTAGACCTAGACACAAAACATATTTAAATACAAAAATGAAGTATTACCTACTAATATTTTTACCTTAACTTTTAAATATGATGTTTTCTCAGAATTTAAAAAAAAAAAAAAAAAAGACAGATCGTACCTAAAAATTAACTCCAGACTTTCTTACAAATTCCTTTTTTAAAACAGTACTTTCTGGGCTGGCAAAATGGCTCAGTCGGTAAAGCCTAACAACCAGAGTTGACTTTACAATGGTATACACACACACACACACACACACACACACACACACACACATGCGCACGCGCAAAATAAAATATAATAATAATCTTAAGTATTTTCCAGCACTGGGGAGATAGCTCAGTTGGTAAAGTGCTTGTCATAGAAATATGAGGACCAGAGTTGAATCCCTGGCAACCTCACAAAAAGCTAGTAGTGCATGCTTGTGATTCCAGAGCTGGGGAAGAAAAGACAGGAGGCTCTCTAGGGCTTATTTATGGTCAGCTGGTGGCAAGACCCAGGTCCCAATGAGAGATTCTGTCTCAAAAAACATGGTGAGACTAACAAGATAGCTCACAAGTAAAGGCATTTGCTGCCAAGCCTAAGTTCAATCCCCAGAACCTACATGGTAGAAGGAAACAACCTTGAAAGTTATCCTCTGACCTCCACATGTGAATCACAATGTACGTGTGCACATGCACGCACACACACAAATAAATGTATGATTTAAAAAATTTAAACAACTACCACCACATGGATGGATCTTGAGGAACAACACCCAAGTTTGACCTCTAGCCTCCATATTCACTCACATATACACAAAAACATTTTCCAAATGAAGACTTTTATCAATTCTTAGAACACATATTTGAATTTTATGAATATAGCATGCTTTATGCACAAAATGGAAAGCCTGCATCAGAATTTCTCATTATGTAAGAAGTCTTACTTGCAGAAAATCAAAATATTTAGGTTTTTACACTAACTTTCAATTTATTACAAACATGCAGAGGTTATTATTAAATGTCCTTAAGTATGTTTAGCATTCTCATGAATTCTGAGAAATAGGAAAAGGATATTTTCAAAATCTGTCTTTATGAGAAGCATTCTATATGCTGACTAACAGAACACACAACAAAAGTGACTTACCTAAGAGAGGAAGGAGGACTGGGTAATTGTAAGGCATCACAAATAGGTTGACACAGTTCAGTGCTGTACTAGCTTTCAAGTAACCAAAGGGATGACCAAGTTCATTATACTTTGCACTATTGCTCACATACACCTGTTTTTAAAAAAGGGGTTAAAATATTCAATAACCTTCAATGAATGCTACGCAAACCACTGATTCCATTTAGCTTATATGCACATGCATACATATATGTGTGGGTATATACAAAGGCCGGGGACTGACTTCGAGTGTCTTCCATAGTTGTTCTCTACCTTATTTTGAGACAGGATCTCTTGCTGAACCTGGAGCTCATGAATTTGGCTAGACTGGCGGGCCAGCAAGCTCAGGGACTGTCCTGTCTCCACCTCCCCAGCACTGGGGTTACAGGCATGCACTGGTGCAACATGATTTTTACATGGGTCACGGAGAACCAGTCTTCATCCTCCCACAGCAAGTGTTTGACTGACTTGAGCCATCTTGCTAGCCCCTCAATTTAGCTTTTTAAGAAACATTACCCCTGAATTTTTTATTCTCTCTATTTTTTCAGCTTACCTGCCAACACGTTTGAGGAGATTTCCTTTCCAAGATAAACTGAGTCAGTGGGGAAGGTTCCAATTCATATTTGTCAAAAGGCAGTTTGTCAATAACCATTGGTTCACAGTCTGTACACGAAAACTTCACTACAGGATGAGATGTACGAGGTGGCTAAAGGGGAAAAATCTTATTACTATTTATACAAAATACCAGAAACAAGAAAAACTCATTTTAAGTATTTTTCTCTATCAACGCTTGGTTCCTGTTTTGTTAGTAAGTTTGATTTACTACTAGAAAGTACCATTAAGCTGAAAAAATACAATGCTTAAATTACATAGCATTCACAAGAAAAACATCAAAATCCGTAAGTGAAAATTTGTCATAAAATCAAATTTATCATAATGCAAAATTTAGAAATAAAAGTTACTAATTTTTAATGCAAGAAACAAGAATGTATAGAAAACTACTGGTCCTCATTTATAGCAACCAGAAACTACCAAACTAATCATAATTCTTTCATCAGCTTATATGCAATATTCAGACACATATTTACAAGCTATTAATATATCTACATAATAT